AAAGATGTGAGAATTATTCAGCTGTTACGAGTTTATTTTTATGAAATTAGCATCTGATTTTTATAATTTTAATATAATTGATAGTTTTTATCTAGATTTTTATTTTTATTAATTTGTGATTTCTTGTAATTACAACTTTAAAAGTTATATTATAGATATAGAAGAATAAAGATGTTTTTTCTTTTCTATATAGATATCTTATTTGTAACTGTAACAATTATTGTACAATAATTATTTTTAACGATTTGCATACATTGTTTTATGTTTTGTAACGTCAATTATATTATTATTAATACGTCGCACCTGAATTTGCGGTCGTTCGCCAAAATTCTCACGCCAGTTTCGTCGAGATTACGCCGTCGACCAGGCAAGGACCTTGGGAATATTACAGCCCACTCGGTACAAAGGCGTGGAAGCTCACCCCTCGTAAATATTTCCAATAAATATCACCGATACCTACCGTTGGCCAACGCCTACGTCGCGCGCGAAGATCACATTTTTTCACGATGGCTTCGTACCACGTTGCGTATTTGATCAATACTTATTTTTACGAATTTTTATGACCTATTCAAATTTTCCATCGTATAACGATATATAGTTGTATTATATATCGATACGTAAAAATATTTCGATATATCCCTTCTGGTAAATTTTCTTTTTTTTCCTTTTTAATAAATCTGCCGACGGTCTTTGTTCATGTTTGAATCGTTAAAGTGTACATAATATATTTATTGGCTATGTGCCATAAAATGCACGATGCACATGATTGACAATATATATTATTTTATTCTTATTATTCACTGAATGTTAAACAAGAAATATGATACATCATGCGCAATGCGTTTTACAGAATTAGGGAATTATTAGCACGGAGCGAGATATGATTTAACATCTGTTCCGTTGTTGTGTTTTTGTCCGGCCAAATTTGTTGACGTGTGAAGCCTCGTTTTTGACTCCCACACTGCAAGTCTAAGCGTGTAAAAAGTGACTTTAATATATTTGTGTTATCTAGTCTTCTGTGTAAAAATGACACTACACACTATATGGTTATACGTGTGACTCTGTATTTGTATGCAGTCTAGTATGTTATATTTTTATGTAGGAAACTAATCACATATAAATATAAATTTTAGTCACTTTTTACACACTTGAATTTAGAATGCATCGTGTGCCTTTTATGATCTATAATTTATTTGTTTTATTTTTCGATAAAGTTAAACTCTAGTTAATTCAGTTCCTTAATATTTTATATAAGAAATTATAAAATGATTATAAAAATATTATTCTTGTGCTAAAAAGAGTCTGATAATAGTCGCTAAATGTTATGTGAAATAATTTCAATTAAATGTTCGATTAATGTTGTATAATAAAAAATAATTTTATTTTCTAAAATTTAATAATTATTATTAAATGATTGTATTAATTATTATGTTCGATAATACTTACTAAATACTTAGAAAAGTAAAATTATTGTTGCTTATCAACCGAACATTTGATTAAAATGGTTTTATTCGATATTTGATAACTGTTATTAAATTCTTTTTTTAATGTACGCTAAAAACTTTAGTTATTATAATGCAAAATGCAATAAAGATGCATGGAATAACATTTAATTCCGAAATCAACGTGAGTTATTTTAAGTAAGTATAAAAGTAAATGATTTCCAAGCTTTCGCGGTGTTAGAAGGTGAAAATTGAAAGGTATGTACAGCAAGAATCTTTCTGACGCGCGTCGAATGCTGCGTGAACTCGTGCGAACCGTCAGGAAGATTCACAATGCAGGCGCGGTCCGATAATCCTGATTTAGACGGGCCCATATATTAGACTAAGGATCGTGAAATTGAATGGTAGAATCAGCGGAGAGAGCAATCCGGCTGTCAACTGCGAGAAATGGAGTATATCGTGCGAAAAATAAACTGCTCCTGGCGCGAGTGGGGTTAGTAAATTTTGCAGGTGGTCCAAAAGCTACCTGTATCCTCTATCCTCCTTCGCTTCTTCTCTTTTATTTTCATCCTCTTTCTCTCCTTTCGACTCTTCTTCGTCGTGGTTCGCGTTCCTGGTCTTTTCGTTGAGGAGTGCCGCGAATGTCCTCTCCCAAGAAGGCTCGTAAATCCTTGCATTTACCTCGCGCCTTCTGTCCTTACTTGGAGCGCAAATACGCGAATCTCGACTCGTCAAAGGCGAGGTGCACGCTGGCATTTGCCAGCCATGATTGCATCGTAGCATTGTTTATTGTGAATTTTTAATCTTATGTTCTTACATGCGAATCGCACACGTAAAGAGTCTATTATTGTATATTAATTGGAATTTGGTTGAAAATCGACAAATCAAAAATCTTCTTTTCAATCTGTTATATTATACTAGTTGGGAGTTAATTAGATTGTGATGAGATCAGAATTTTCTGGTTTGTTTCTTTTTTTATCAGAAATTTTTTTATTGCATTATTACTGAATTGTTAATGATACTGTTCTGTCACGATTCGCGATATTAAAGATTTAAGTTTTAATATTTTAATTATGCTAACTGCACGTCTTATAAGTGAGCGGAACAAAGTGAACAGAATCCATTTTAACTAATATTTTTATTTGTTGCTCATTTGTAGCTAACAAGTTGCCAAAGAAAATTAATTTGTTGCTTTATTACCTTTTTTTTTTTTTTTTTTTAAATTATATTCCGCTAAAGGAAGATTAAGTAATTCTATGGATATTGTTTCGCTAATTTAATTTTCCTTTAGCGGAACATTATTTAAAAAAAAACTAATAGAGCAACAAATGTTATTCTTTGGCAACTTGTTATCAACAAATGAACAATTAATAAAAATGTTGAAATCGATTCTGCTCACTTTGTTCCGTTAACTTATAAGAGAAGTGCTAACTATTTTTTAAAAATTATTATAAAGTTTATTAATTTAAACAGGAGTATTTATCGAATTGTATAATATTTATTATTTTTTTTTATAATTTATTAGTTTTTGATAATGTGAAATTTTTACATTTTAATATCCACGACCTGGAACTTCAAACTTTTTGTATTCAAACATTTTTATATTATTTTAGACAATAAGAGTCTAAAAAAATGTTTACATACTTATGATAGTTGTAATAAGGAATTTTTACTATCACAGAAATTGGATTGTATTGTACTTATTTTTTACAGATTTAAATTTATTTCGAGAATTCCAGAATTAAAAAATTGATTATAATAATACTTTTAAAATCAAACATTATCAGTAGGGGATATTAAAATGAGTGTTGAGAAGTATATTCATGTAGACAGAATGTAAATAGTTTTTATATTTTATAATGCATGTAATATGTTTAATACGTGCAGTTCACACATGAATTCTGTTGATTATGAAATCGCGAAATTATATTTTGGCGTAAAAATGTACGAGTAACAGGAGCAGTGAATAGATCAAGGAAATCTTACGCCTAGTCAATATCGGATTATTACGTTCGAATATGAAAGCCATATACGAGTTCGTTATTAATGCGACCGATACTTATTCCGTACTCATCCGTAGATACGATCTCTCCGCCCAGCCAATCGGATAGCTACGTCTAAACCTATAATTAACATTAGCCCACCCATAGCGGGTGCGACGTTACAAACCGATTAACGAAAGTTTCAATTTATCCTTGCGCCGTATTCTACGCCTGCGTTAATTTAAACGAGCGTGTATACATATTACGCACTATATTATTACTTTCTTGAAATTGCATTTTATTTAACTAAATTTTTATACATTCCGACCCGTATTCATCAGAACGCCACTTACAACAAAGTTAGCGCTCTAACAGATATAACTATAGTTTACGTTACGCATACTATAGAATTTCAGAGATAAAAGCGCGCTTTTATCGATAAAAGCGCGTTCTAAATATGGACTTCCTGATAAGAACGGACAAACCTGTAGTATAAACCTGTAGTACAATCAGGGGGATGATTTCTTAAAAATAAGTGGGTATGTTAAGTTAGCACCCCAACTATAGTACTCAGGAGTTCTGATTAGAGTTCCCACTTCCTTTTGACGAGACGAAGAGTTCCCTATAGTTAATAACAAGAGTTCCGCTCAATAAACATTTTTTTTACATTTTTTAAAAATAGGGTGCTAACTTTTTATCGAATTTCGAGGTGGAATAGTTCTGAGCGGCTTAACAGCTTCAATTTGCCTAGAGTTCCTAATATGTAAAAAAAATTTTCGAATATTAAAAAAAAAATTAAAAATTTTTGAAAAATTAATTTTTAGATAAAACTTTCTGTAGCATTGCTCAGCTTGATTGAATTTGCTATACATAATTATTTCAATAATCCAGTAAAATTATTTTCAGATCTGTGTTTAACTAAATTTTTATATAACACTAATTTTACATGACACTAATAGCTCATTTTTTTCCCATATTGTAAAAAATACGAATAGAATGAGTATTGAGTGAATAATGAGTAAATTCAATGATATAATTGTTATATCATAGTCTTTAAAATCTATAAATAATCTTAAAATGTACGAAAAATTTATTATAACGATACGATCAAGATAGAGTCAATGAACTACGTCTTTGGTGTCAATGTTTTCCCTATTAATAAGTGCCGGTGTTACAATCATCAAGTCATCGTTCCCGTGGTGGGAGCGTACCTTTAAAGTTTCTCACCGGTGTTCTTCACCGACGTCATATCGTAATTTAACGTGAGACTCAAGTCAATCAATCACTTGTTAGCGATATGCGATCCGTGATTGCGGCGCGTGACCGTCTCGTGCGGCCTATTAAGTTTGCGCTATTAATTAATCAGAAATGGGAGATGACTTGCGATATCATATAGGTCTTATGAGACGAAGATATGTAGCGATGGTAATCATTGCGGAGATGAAGTCGTTCAGAGACTTCGTTCAAAGTTTCTTTCGTAGCACCATCCACTTGCAGCTGTCGCTAAGCTAAGCGCTATTAATTATTTCTCGCTGCGTTTTCTTGATGATGAATGTTGTCTTCTTTTTTGTTTCAGGCCATAGCGAGAAATCTACAGCCGCCCCAACGGTAAGTATCGAGATGACTTGTCGTTTGGACACCTCTCGTGTAAACATCGTCGCCGACCGCTTCTTTTTCATCCCGATATCCGTACGGCGTTTACAGCACGGTGCAGAATTTCTCTCCTTGTGGACAGGAGATGATGCATGAGTGTACTAAAGCACATTAGCGAGATCGACGGAGGTGTGGTGTCGCGCCGCGGTAACCCGATGTGCAAATGGAAAAAAAGGAATGTTAGTCGTTTACCAATAAATCGTGGCGCTCGTAGAAATTATAGTAATGATTATAGTGGTGCGCTCGAAGAGACGTGATACTTCTCACTTGGTCAATTACATAAATCTACCAGGTCACATTAGCTCGCTGCTAATTGCTTTTAAATCGACTAGTATCCTAATAAATTTTACAAGTTTTTTTTTTTTTAATAACATCTCGGCGCGGACACGAGCGAGAGGGTTGTTTATTTATGGAGAGTCGTTCGAGGCAAAGCATGGTCGTGCTCGTTTCTGTATCTACGCACGCACGCACGCACGCATGCACCTGGTATGTCTCTCAAAAGGTTTTGATATATCGAAAAGGATGGTGAAACTATTTGGGCCGACACCCCCGCCTAATCCAATCCCTTTCGTTTGGAGCCTCAGAGATTCTTTGCTTTCCTTAATATATCATCCAGTCGTACAGATCGCGCCCTTCAAAAAGAATCTTTCCGCCGCACTCCGTCTTAACCAACTATAGGTTTTCCTATCTTTTCTATGTCTATAAGCGAAGAAAGACATCGTTTTATGATTTAAGTAGCGCAGGGATTTTACGACCGATCTAAAAAAAATCGAAACGCCATTCAGTGCGCACATTATAATCCAGTCATATCCGTTGTTGCAGATTTACTACAGCAACATTGCTGCATGCGTTTCCTCACCTCAAGTATATCATCGACTTGACCAATACATGTCGCTACTATGACAAAAAGGTAAGGGATACCAAACTGAAATTTAAATTTAACAAAAACGAATGATCGATTTTCACCGATTTGTGAATAATAAGGGTCACACCCTTGATATTAATAATAATAGTCATACTCGATAATTAACATATATTGATAATTTCGCTGATTTTGAAATAAATATCGTAAACTTAATACAGTACGTAGAAAATAAATTTGAGAGCGTTCCATGCGATTAAAAAGGGGCCATATGCAGGCAGTATCGTCTGATGAAATAATACTGACGTTTTCACATGAATTTAATGCGGAAACATATCGCGTATCGTTCGAATTTCAAGTCGTAATTCGCTATGTTTATGCACGCGCTCCTTTACCTTTTAGTAATTCGAAACAAGAGACGTCTTCTCACTTTCCCGCAAGCTGTCACCTACTGCATTCCTTGATCAAGCAGATATACAGATTCTCTCTTTTTTTCTTCCTAAACGGTTGACGGTTTGACTATATCTATTGTCGCTGTTCGTTTCTGTCTGTCCTTCTCGGTTTCATCTTCTTCATTCCCTCTTGACATCCTAATATCGCATCGGGGTCAATTTCAACTTGAGAACGCCCGAGAGCGGTCTGACTAATTTGTAGCGAGGGAAGAGAACTGAACTAATAAACTTATTATTAGATTTTTGGAATAGCCGGTTGCCACGACTCGATCGGTTGACTGTCGGTTCCGAGTCATTGTGTCGAACGGAGATATGTCCGCGATGTTTTCTGGGTCAAAGCTGTCAGAGAAAAGGACCGAAGACCGATCAATTATATTATTAAGTTGTGGAGTTGGTTCGGTCGCTTCATCTTCTGCTTTTTGTCTTGGCCCCACCAACGTTTGGACAGTCATTTGCCACGCGATGAAGAATTCTAGGGGATATGTTTTAAAACATTATACACGCCGCCGTGAACATCAATAGCGCTACGGGGCAACGATAATTAACAGAGAGATCTCTCGGTGTCGCCCACGCCTAATTAGAGCGCATTATACGTGTATAATGAAGCGCTTAGTCGGTCCTTTAATTTTCTTGCCCGTAGTCATGGGGGAAAACAAGATTGTAGAGACAAAGGATCTCGTATACTGGTTCGCTGAAGATTTTATCAAATGTGTCTTTTACTTTCCCAGTTTCGTGTATATTTACATATATGGAACCCTTCCGGTTTATATTATACGTATGGTGCATGCTAATTTTTCTACTTTTATCTTTTTAAAATCTTAGAAATGGATACGATAAGATTCATTAGATATACGATTAGAGAATCTTTGGTTTAATTTTGTTTTTGAGATTGAGAATCTGAAATACCTATTCTTGAACAAAAGAATTTCTTGCACATTATTGACGGCTGGAGAAAAGAAAATAGGTTCGATATAGCCATTAAGCGCAATAGTGCACGATCATCAAGATTGAGTTTCTAATATCTCGCTAAAAGCAAAGTCAAAAAGATTGATTATTATGACGTGATCTGTCATCAGAGTGGAAAAGCGAGTAGTAACTGTCTGACATCACTCGGGTTAGAATTACAACAAGTGTTACTATTATTATCGTTAAGCGCGACGTTTGTCTAATAATTAAAAATAATAATTAATGTTAACGCAGCACACAAAGTGCTTACTTTATTTTTAAAAATTAATTTTTTTTTACTAACAATCGATTTTTATTAAATTTACATAGATGTTATTTATATGTATTTGTTCCGCGATGATTTGTGTTTTTGTACTAGCTATTTATTTTTTTATTTAAATTTGTTAATGCTTTTGAAGTTTGAAATCAAGAGATAATAGAGAAATTTTCATGAATATGCAACACTTGTTGTTGCGTCTAGGCAAATACGCGTATACTAAAGAATACCTTCCGAAATACAAATGATTGTGAATTTCTCTTTTACTCGTATCGATTAGTTTAAAGGGTCGTATTTTTCTTTCTGCCCTTGCAAATTTCGTATTTAACGATCGATTGTTTCGATTTCCGAACGTTCACTTTACATCATATTTGAATGACACGCTTGCACTCAGAAACTATGATTATCCGCATTGTTTGTAATTGACGGTTTTAAGCGTGATAATTAGTGATGCTAATGAGTGCGTCGGGACGGTTTAACGGGACAATAGCTTGGTCGATCAAATTATACGCGTGTTCAATTCAGTACGTGTTCTATTAATGCATCTGCGTTCCGTGCGACACGGAGAATATTCTGCTTTTATTACGCAATAATATGCATGTGATGTTTATGTTTTTGTTAACGGTTCTGTTGTAGGAATTTACAAATGCTGGTGTTAAATACGAGAAGATTGCTATACCAGGAAGAAAAATACCGACTATGGATATAATTAAAAAGTAAGTATGCGAGTGATCTTATTTATAATACCAAAAATATCAATTTCTTTAGAATATTTTTGTGACAATAACCAATTTTACAAACATAAGTAGTTAAATATTTCTTGTATTACAATATACTTTGGACGATTGAAGTTTAAGGAAATTATTTATTTAAATTAAAAAAAAAAACATTAGTCTGAAATGGCTCCCCGTTGAATAGTAGTAGACTCCATGATCCATTCGATTTAATGTTAGGCTTGCGTGAACCTTTTCTGGTACGACTTGCGTTAATGTCTTTCGCTTAATGCCAATCGTATTTCACATTTATTATCTTTCCACGGCGATTGGCGATTGATGAGTGCGCGATTCGCACAGCGCAGGTGACGGTTGGTTAATCATTCGCCTACAAATCACATTACCTTAACAAGGAAGCCGAGTCCAGTGTGTATACCGTTTTTCTGAATTCTCGGCATTCCATACCGTCAAGAAACCAGGGGCGAATATCGTGTCAGAAATTTATTGCTTTTTCTTTTTCTTTCCTCTTTTCCCTCTTTCTCTAGATGTTTTCGTTCACTAATTTAGATCGTAAAGCATGAGCTATATAGCGAATCATGTTACACCATTCAGAATACCTTAGTTTATATCGAAACAAGTAATGAGTTTATCAGTTATGACCTTACATGACGAATATCTCGATTTCCGCTTTAATTGTTTGCCATTGAACGATGGTAATTCGATGAAGTTATTGCGTCAACAAATTATTTCCAATTTTCGTTATTAAAAATGGACATTATTTGTGATGATAAAATAAAATTTAAATTAATTAAAATATTAAATAAAATATAAATATTAAAATATCATATTAAACATAATAAAATAGAAAAAACACAATATATTATGCATTTTATAATTTTATTTAATAAACTATTTTAGCGATAGTAAAACTTTAAAACTATAACAAAAAAACTAAATCTTGCCTTTCTAATTTTTTGCTTTGAGAAAGGTTACTTGAAATAAGGCCAAGAATGACGTTATCTTTGACCATATAAAAATATCTTTATAAAGAGTGAAATTATCTTTTTAAAGAATAAGAAATTTACGAAAGAAACTCATACGGTCATTGATGGAACGTCAATAGCGCTCTATAACAATTCCGCTTCTTATCTTAACCGATCGCGAGGAATTTTGCGTCTGAACGGAGAAGAGGCAATTACTAAAATTCTCATCCAAATGGTCGGTAGGTAGCCGGAATGGGTTGAATAAAATTCTCGAAATTCTGACGGTGTTCAAGATAACGTCCCGTTTTTCATACTTTACTCAGTACGGAATGGAGACACGTATTAACCTTTGCATGGCGTCATCACGCACACGTGTTTTCTGCTTCGAATGGTACATGCAAAGCAGTCTGACAGGGCCGGTCAGTCGACTAATTAACTGCAATAAACGTCCAATGATTTACCGAACATTGTGCAGCGTACCCATACCCTGGCTAGTCTTCCGTTTCCTGTCTCTTTTCTGCTGTCGTTCTCTTTCTTTCATCCTCCGTTATCATGTGCGTGCGAGGGACATCTCTAAGTGCTATACGGGTGGATAATGTGTAAGGATTGTGTTATACGATCGAGGAAGAGTAATGTTTGAGCGCCGTAATTAGCGGCGATTTTTCTCTCTCTCTCTCTCTCTCTCTCTCTCTCTCTCTCTCCCTCCCTCTTCCTCTCTCTCACGAGACGTATAAAAACTATTTATTATTACAGTAATAAAAGTATTAATTATCGGTGCCTGCCCCAAGTGTTGGGAAATACAATATTTGCGTTCATGGAGAAATATGAAGACGTTCCACAGTGATATCCCACGCAATTATATTTCTCACGCGCGGCAAAGGCGCTACTAAAAACATTTTTGTAAGTGCATCGCGCGAAAAACGTGACACGCGCGTAAGCTGTTAATGACGTCGGACCGAATTTTTCGCCAGCTATCAACATTAAATACTATTTACTCGTTCGACCGAATAGGAAATAAATATACAAGATATTTCTTATGAGATATGAAAACAACGGTGATCACTCGCGGACCAGCCACGAGCGGGTCAAAGCACGACCTTTCGCGCAATCATCCGGCTTCTCGCTTTTCTCCCTCGGTTGTCGATCGGCCCGCACAAAGAACGCGGGCCCGATTTGTATAATTCGAGGATAAAACGGTGATTCGCATCAACGGTTAATAGCCGACAGGTATGCGAATAGCCTATCGCGCGGATGCCCCGTCTGGTCCTGCTCTTTTGTTGATCTCTTTGAGACCTGATGGCTTTGTGGCTCGGCTGTTGCGCGATGTGTAATTAACTGCATCCTTGATAGGATCGGATCGGTTACTGGTGCTGTGTTGTGGTCGAAATGAGAGAGAAAGAGAGGGAGAGAGGCAGGAGTATTTTCAGAGGTGAAAACACTAGGCGCCACTTAAGGGGATGCTGGGAGTGATGAAATTATCGATACATTACAACCGTACGAAAATTCCTGAATTGACTGAAACAAATGGAATTCAAAATTTTTTACTGTGAATTCAAGGTAGACACAAAATTGATTTTACATTAAAATCGAAAAAAGTACTTAACATATAGTACAGATATTACTGTTACTGATAGTTTTGTATAATTTTGTATAATTTGGAACTTAAAAAATCCTTACTATTGATAAGTTTGGCCATCATTCTAGTCCCCACCCCAACACACACATACTTGTTAGTATTCTAGATACCCTTAAACTCTGACAAAAATGCAAAGGTGGCTGGGACGAATAACGCTGTGCAAGGAAGTGGCAAAGAAATCTTTCGTGTCGAGGTTTCTCTCGATTTATCTTACTTAATTTTTTGGCTCATTCTTCGGAGATGCTCGTATCAGCCGAATTTATCGGGCAGTAACGTTAACTTACACCCGCCAGAATTTCTTCTCTTTCGCGCACCTCCTCGTTGCGGACGTTACGTGTCTGGAAGATCAAAAATGTTGATCCTTTACTTCAAGGATATCTTCAGAAATGCGTCTACGAAGCACCGCGAATGTTCCAAAAATAGCCTTACAACGGGCGCCTACGCTCGTTGATACTCGAAAATGGTATTTGGAAGGTAAACGACGTTTCCTTATTTCGCAGCGTTGTGTATTCGGGATTGACGATCGGTGATTAAAGGAGAAATCGCGAAGAAAGAACGGACGAGATTACTCTCGCTCGTGACGGAGTCTTAAATATCACGCGGCTAATTGCTCTCTTTGAATGGCCGGTTAACAGGGTTCATGGCAACAGTATCCGCATTTATTCGATAATTATGATTCACTTAATTGAAAAGTTAATAAAAAGATGTAAAATAAATATATGTAAATTATATCTTTTGTCATAAGTCAATTTTATATTATTAGTTGTATGTTTTTGAATATTGGGAGTTTTTTATTTTGCTGTTAAATTATAATTTACGTATTATTTATTCATATATACACATACATATATATATATAAAATAAATAAAAATTATACTTATATGTATATAAGTAATAATAGATAAATTTTTAATTTAAAATTAAACAACAAAATTTATTAATTAATATACGAACTATTAAAGTAGTAAAGTTTTTATTTTCGAAAATATAGTAGACAATTAGTTCCCGCAATATTCAATATATTCGATAGCGTTTGTTACATAAGCGTTTTCAGTTACGAATGATAATCACATTAACAGAAGTTCGTTAGTCTCATATACAGCGGATTAAGCAATTTCACGTGAAACGTGATGTTAATGAAACACAAATGTTCGTAAACGTGAGCTTGATTTTAGAACTGCAGTAATGGCTTCAATTTTTTATTCTAATTACTATGCTTGGTTTAAATTATTTAGCTATATTTTTTTATTAATTTCTTTTTACGTATATGCGTGTCTAATTATAATATAAACATGTGTTCTATTACTATCGTAATTTTAGCTTCTTTTTTTATGCCTCCTATTTTTTTTTGTTAAGTATGTTGGTCAATTGTAATTTTGTTATATATATATATATGTATTATAATATAAAAAAAGGACGATATATACATTATGTATATATTATATGTATAACATATACAGAGTGTCCGACGTAACTGTGATAATGATTTTTCCGTCACTTCCGATGATCTGATAAAAATTATTTTGGGTAGAAATTAATTAGTTGTCAATGGGCTACAAATTACAAATTAAAAATTTGTACCTATAGAAAACTGATGAATTTTTATCCAAAATAATTTTTGTCAGATCATCAGAAGTGCCGGAAAAATCGTGATCACAGTTACGTCTGTATATATACACCCTATATATATATTATACACATACACACACATATATAATGATCCTTTTATCTATCTATCGAATAGATTCTAACTGGAGATATACTAAAATATATATAATCAAATTTAATTTCAATTGTATAATTAACATTAATAAATTTGGAATAATTATCCCGTAGTAGATCCCAATAATAGATCCCATTTCTTTGATTGTTATTCAAATTACAGCTACTATTATTATTAAAAAATTTTTCTCTAAAATCTTTAGAGTGAAGTCTAATTCTAAAGAGTGACAAAAAGTGATAATTGAGCCAGAAAAAAAGCTGAATTGTCAAATTTTAAAAACGAGATTTTACTCTGTAGAATTAGATTCTACTTTAAAGATTTTAGAGAGTTATTTGTACATATTCTCTTGTGTCCCCTCTGACAATTTTAACAAGGCTCTAATTAAAAGGTCTTAAATTTTTTCTGCAAGATCAATAAGAAAATCTATATTTTGTTAGAAGGGAGGGATAATCTGTTGATGACCGCGCGAACGTGAACTTCGACGACGTTTCTCTGAAGATTGGCGATTGGTTTCCTCAGCGCGCTCGGGGCGAACCCATCTCAAATATTCTGACGTGTGGCGTCTCGGGACCCTCCGATGCCCCGTCGGTGCGCGCTGCGTGGAAATCACGGGAGAGGCACGTTTTGGCACATGATTGTGGGTGGTAAACGCGTTCGCGTTTCTCTTCCAACGCGCATAATGCGCCCGAGCGCGTGTACGTTGCTTCGTATTTCCGGTGCCGTTAATTCGAGAGCTGAATGACGCCGGAGCTACAAGTCGTTTTCTCGAGGAGAAAAAGAGAGATTCCAGCTCTCTCGCTTCTCTTTGTTCTCTCCATCTTGGCAAGCGTCTCGCATCGGGAACGACGAAGGAACGTGCGTACGCGCGTCTCACGCTCGGGACCACCCGGGCGATCGCTTCATTACGTAAATTCGCCACCACTCGCGTCCTCCGCGTCTTCGCGTGCCCGTTTCGTTCGTGCACGCGCCGTCTCGTCGCCCTTTCTCCGTGCGATACCAGCCAACGATGCTCAAAGGCGATTCCGCGCGAAATACCGACACAACGCGTTTTTCCGAGAATTGATCGGACATCTTTGTTGGTCAGAAACTAATGCATGTATAAGATAGAGAGAGAGAGAGAGAGAGAGAGAGAATTAACCCTGGGTCAATATTAATCTTCTCAACGAAAACACAGTCTCTGAATTATTATTCACTGTTCAACATTAATGAGCATCTGTCGAGCTTTGAAAGTCTAAAAATGACGAAATCTTACTATTTACAATAATTAATTCTACATGATGTTTTCTTGAAAAACATATATTTAAAATAATAATTTGTTTAAAAATGTATTCTTGTTTATTTTGCATTTTTATTATATATATATATATAAATATATTAATCACGTTATATATTAATATTATAGATTTTCAATTGATTCAAATTTGCCGTTAAGAGATACTTTTTTTTTTTATTAATGTCAATTTTATTGATAAACCTACGCAATTATTAGCTTAATAATTTGTTTATTTAGGAATGATATGGTCGCATCTTTAAAATTGATTATATTTCGAAGTTACGTATTTTATATGATGACAAATTGCGCACTTTGGAGATAGAATGACCGTGAAAACAGGCGTCTACCGAGTGCTGCTATAACCGTGTGCCTTCCGTATACGCGACTCTGATTGAGAAACAGTCAGTCGGAGTGTTTGCGCAGTACTTCTACAATATCTTTGGTGTTCCGGGATCTGTGCTGGGAGTACAGCCATACAAACATCGGTTAACCGTTCACCTACCTACGACCGCCGCAGTCCATGCATTAAACATTCTCAAACATGAACGGTCTTACCGTCCAGCCGATGGGCCAACTTCGCTGGTCCATACTTGCGTGAAAATATCCGCGGTCGTGAATTTTAAAACGAAGGAGAACTTGAATTTTTGTAATGAAAACTGTTGCGACGATCAATTCTTTACGCCGATGATTTTTTCTATTTTTTTTTTATACCAAGCATGTGTTGCGACACCTGATAAAATTCATTCTCTGGTAATATTCATAAATAAATCAAAGATATTGCTATGCAGAGTATATAAAAATGCATGAATGTACATACTTGTGTAGATTGGTTGATCGCTTTTCGTGGTTATTTTGATATATACTTTTATATCTGTCAAAAGAATAGAATTGATATATAATTTTACGTCAATAATATTTTGATATAATTTATATAGATAGATTTAATTTATTCATCACGGTAAATTTAAAATGTTTTATTTTCTCATCTAGATGTAGGGCAAAGGAAAAAACAAACGAAAAACGCAAACATGGATAAAAATCAGAGAAAACGAATTTATGGGCGGAAGAAAGGGCAGCCAAAACTACGCTTGGAATCGTAGAGAGGCTAGCTCTAGGTCAGTTTTGATCGCGATGACCACATGCTTTAAGAAATTTGGTCAGAAATATTTTCGAGATATTAGATTTTAATTCAAATTCGAAGATTCTTAGTTTCATATTAAATTAAGTTAGGTTTCTTATTAAATTAAGATATAATTTATGCACAAATCTGATTATCATTAGGTGGAAGATGTATTAAATTATTTACTCTTAAACATTTTCCGCAAGGTGTAATCTGAACCATTCTAGGCACGTATTGTCTTCTCTCTAATGGATATTGTGTCGCTCTTGTGCGTCTCAATCTATACGTTCTAGGAACACCAGTTTCGGAAATGACGGGCGGATGTGACACCGGGCTTTGTAATCGTTGTAATCTTTCTCTCGCGGTCTCTGGAAAAATATTATGATTTTATGCAAATTCTCTATACTTTATTTTACCATATTAATTATCTATTAGATATTTAAATGTAACGACGCGTTGATCATGATGTAATTTACTATATACCTTCATCATCAATTTCTTCAACATCTGATACAGCATCAACTAAAAAATACAATTGATTAAGAGAGTTATTAGATTAGATTGCTATTTTATATTTTTATATTAATTAGTTTCAACGAAAATTAAAAAGTTTTTATTTAGGAGCAATTTTGTGATCAAGAAAACAAAAATAACTTGTGTATTATACCTTAGATCATTATACATATATCATCTATGTGATACAATGGGTTACTATGATTAGACATAAATTTCCTATTTACAATCAATTCGTCGCGGAACAATGGCTACTCCAGTTGTCAGATCTCTACGTGAGACACTTCTTACACGGGTTCGAGGCACACGTTGATAACTTTGTATTCTTCTCGGAGTCGAGATTTGAGGCGAGATTGGAGTCGAGAAATATGGTGGAGCAAACTCTTCTTCATAATATCGTGTTGACGTACGCCGATCTTCCGGACTTGATCTAGTTTATTTAACTTGAGTATTTTTTAAATGAATTGGTATGGTTTTTTATTCTAAGCGTGAAAACGTTGTTTATAAAAGTTAATGTAATATTAAGAAGGAAATAATATGTGTTAGTATGTGCTGTATTATGTTTTTATCACAATGAAATATTGAAAATATCTTTTTCATGTAAATAATTAATGATGGCATTTCTCTCATTTAACAATATGTTTATTGATTTAAAAATTATTATACGTTGATAAATATGTATTGAAAAATAATAGAGTTATATTTCCACTAATACGACAATAATATAATTGAATTATATATAAATTAATAAATTATAGGTTACATACATCTCAAACTCGGAAAGTGCAGTATGATATTCTTCCGTATTATTATTGTCAGGAGAACAAGTACACATAGTTGTTGATTTATTGAACAAATGTCTATTTCACAATTTTGAAAATTTTTGTGCCGAAAAGGTTTTACAAATTTAAAGATTATGTCAAAATTATAGCCTTACATTATAGCGTCAATCGATCAAGAACTATCGACTGCTTCTCTCATTATCCTTCACGACACAGAATAATTTGTATGCATCATTTCTTTATAAAAGGAAACTTGATTAATTGTGCATTTTGATTGCATATTATTGGAACATATTAAAACGAAATAACAAATTTCCTAATATATATTATATAAGTATAGAATAAAAAGAATTATATAAAAACAAAGTCTTGGGCAAGAAAATTTCAAGGATTTTACGAAAATATATGCACAAGTAAAATAAGACTTTATACTCATATTGAGTGACTTGTGAATCGCTATAATTATTTAACATTGTTTATCAGACGAATATTCGTCTCATTTTTTCTTCCACTAATGTAGATTAAATTAATTTAATCTTGCTTCAACTTTTCATTTCTTTTTAAATTCGAAGAATTACAAAAAGATGAAAATTAAGTTGTGAATCAAAATTTAAGTTAATCTACATTTGTGAAAACGAATACATTTAATCAAATACATGATTCTCTTTTATATTTTTCCCTTATATTTCGACTGTTTCTTACGTTAATCGAAATTTGTTGAATTAAAAAATTATTCACTTAACGGACTTCGAAAGCCCAACATGCCGCCTGTATAGTCAACGCATGTCTGGCGTGTCTAAAAATCAGTACTCCACGATGTATTTATTTATCACCGTCTTGTCAGACGACGAAATTGTAACTTGATATTCATTAGATTTAAATAGTAACGTGCTGTGTTTTTCCGGTCGATGATCGAGCTTTTAGATAACGCGTGATTACGCAACCGGCATCACATAGAAGTGGCCATGTGATCTTTCTCAGTGAAGTTACACGCACGCACGCAAATGGGCGCGAGCACGTAGTACGGTGGGCGCGTGCGAAGGACCACACACCGCGTGCAATATTCAAATGAACGCCACTTACGACCGACAATCGTGCTGTCATAAATGTCGTTTCGTGGTTTCACGGGCGCGTCTCCTTATTCCGGTCGAATTTCTCCGCGTGATTTTTACAGTTTACACAAAAACTGGAGTTATTCATATAGTCATCGTTAATTAGCGAAGAATGTCGCTTAGATTTGAGAAGATTGTAAAAGCGTATTCTCTCTTTCTCTCTCTCTCCATTAGCACCTTGAATGGAATAGTTGAAATTCATATATGATTCGCAATACTTGATGACAACTATTCCTAACCTGTAATGCTATTTAAAGTAAAATTGCAATGCAAAGTATAAAGAAAAGAAAAACGATTTAAATCGAGCGGTGATGAGATTTTTTAAATAAATTTCTATAAGTTTACAATATTAAGAAACGACATAAATATAAAAAAATATAATATCGAACATTTCAGAACTCACAGGTCCTTCTTCAGCGATTCTTACAGATGTTTCTATGTCAACGAGATAAACGTGTAATCTTACGGTCGAAGCGACATGATGTGGTATTGTGTTGGTATGACAATTTGTTTTGAAAAGAATTGATTCTCCTGTTTTTGTGTGAATGTGTGGAAGTAGTGTAAAATGTATATAAAAACAGGAACATCATTACTTATTCGTCTGATTCTGTTAAGCGCAAGTGTTACAAACATTGAATTGTTAAAAATTTTTAATAGTGCCAATTTTACGTGTATATTTACGTTTGTTGTTATATTAGAAGATGTATGCTTATGACGAATTTGATTCGTCCAGACTCAGGACAGACTCAGTGAACACTGCATGCACATGTTAAAGCATACATAAATTAATGCAAAGATGTGTATTTAATATAAATATAGAAAAAGCTTAAACCACCAAATATTTAACACACTTTATTGTGCTGTTAGATAAAATGTATTTTATAATTCGAAAAATTTGCATTTTATTTTTACACTTAGATTAAATCAATGTATAACGATTTTAATATGCGCCATTATTGCGTCCACACACAACCGAATTTACTAGATTAATTTTTTAAATTATAATTTAAAAATCCGGAATAATCGAGATAAATTAAGTATGCGCGAAATTATATGACGGAAATTACGTAACGAGCGGAACAGCATTTAATAAAATTTTCTACTGACTGAATTGATCAGTCTAACACCGAAATGCGCAAGATAAATGACACTTGGCGATATTGAATAAAAAGATAAACACTCAATACGCGGTGAAATCTATGCATTCGTAGCACCGCCCCAACTCAGTAAAATATTTCTAGAAAGAATTCATCCGCTGATAGATGACTGGTTTTATAAATATTGATGGCCGCTCGTCTTACATAGCGGGTCAGAGCTTTTGATTTTGGTTTTCCGACGTAGATGGCATCGGAAATATGGCCATTGGCGCTGATGACGCCGATGATGATGATGGTGATGATGATGATGATGATGATTGTCATGATGATGATGAAGTTGATTCTCGATATTGGGTTCTTCGAGAAGAATTCCTACTGGGTTGAAGTGCGAAGCACCGTGTACAACGATACCTCCGCGTCTGCTTCGAATCTGTAATTCAAATTCGAAAGTCAAATTAATTTAACGCTCGTCATTTTTCACGTTTCGGCGGCGCCGCGCACGCGGAGCCCCGGCAGCTATCTTTCGATATTTCATCCCGTAGAAGGCTGTGCCCACTCCCCCTGTGATAGATGCATCTCTCCGTGATTGTGCTGTCACGTTTTTGAAATGAGGAAGACGCGCCACGAATATTTCAAGTATTATAAATGCGCGGTCGTGGGAGCGAATGATAGTCGACATTGCGCTCTGTTTCGCTACCGATACGCGTACACAAGAGATTTATCTTATTCCTTGCACTGACCTTGTGCAAGATTCGTACAGATGATGTTTAAGCTACACGGCGTTATGTAAATTCGTTGTATATCGCATGTGCGTTAATTACATAAATAAGTTTTTCACTTGATTGTTCAACTTGTAAAAACGTATTGACGTATAGTAGATATTTCTAAAAATAACAATAATGTTTACAATTTGACGCTATTGGAGTACATTCACAAACTAGATGCTCCTATTTCGAGAGTCATTATGAGTTAACAAGCCTCGGAGGTTATAAATATCTCTCACCTTATAACCTATCGATATTGAACGGTGCACGGTGGTTGAAACCAGTCGGCAAGCTGTGAGTTAGTGCTTATAATCGCGTTAGCCTAATCGGTGTTATATAAAGAGTCCGTTTCGGAGTTGAAAGGGACCAAAGGCACTAAAACGGCCCTATTAAGCCTCTATAGACCGCCACAATTGGGCCACCCAATCCTCAATACAATAACGTAGTAACTTTTCGGGGAACTAAGTCTATCTGGGTTCGTGAAGGGGATTGAAACGATTTCATGCTTGTCACCACTATTCTCATTTCCTTGGAAACTAAATCTAAGCACATTTCTTAAACTCATCTCAGTATGAGATCTCTCTGTGTATCTTTCAAATAATTAATCTTAGAATGCGTTGTTTAAACGAATAATTTCTAATATGCATGAAAAGCGAGGATTGATTATTATTTATAACAATAAGTATAATAACCAATAATTTAATACATTTAAAAACAATACAACACGTTTTGACTCACAGAGTCTTCCTCAATATAGAATAATTATAAATTATTGGAACATTCTGCTCGGTTATTGGTAGTTTAAACTAAGATATTAATTAAGATATTGATTAATTAATATTGTTTAAGATATTGATTTGCTGATTATTATTTATTTGTTTATACTTTATATTTTAGTCTATACTTTATATATTTTATAAATATACTTTATGCTTTTCTTTTAAATTTTATTTATTAAGTGTACTTTTATTAAACTATTTTTTAGATAAATGTGTGTATGAAGGATGCGCTTTGTTCTCTGTATAGCCTTAATATTGATATTGATACGAGTCGTTTTCAAGTGCAAGACATTTGATAATTGTAAGTTATTTCGCAATTTCCTTTTTCGGTAAGAAGTTTTAATTCCTACCATCACTGAAAAGCCAATTTCACACATGTACACGTACTTTTCACGCGTGCATAAGTTTGAAAATTTAATTTTTTGGTTTAACTAGTACCTGGAATTAGAGAAAGATATAAGTTAGTTAAATCATGATGAAAGTTAAACATCATTTATGGAAACGATTATAAGAACGCGAAAAAAAAAAAAAAAAAAATACGTGAACACCTTTCCATAATTTATCGAGCAGTCGAAGTAGGCTTAATCCGTTGGTTCTTTTTCTTCTCCGCCCTCGGCGATGACGGTGAAGGGAAACCGATATGATGCATGCCTGCACCCCCGTAAATTATTGTATAAGCGCCACCCTATCTCCGAATCTGCGAAGTTTCAGAAATCTCTCTTTCTCGTTTTTCCATTTCTCCTGCCTTCTATCCCATAGATCACAAAGAAGCCGCCAGTAAGTTCACGGTAAAGTTTATAGAAGACAAAAGGGGAAATGTGTTGCCTGCTGAAAAATCGCCGGCGCTGCAGCTATTATTAATCCGCATCCGACACGCGTGAGCGCCGGTTGCGACGTGTTTTCATGACATAATTCGGAATCGATTTAACTTCTTAGCGCCCTGCGTGATGTGCAAAGGACTCTTTACTTGCGCTGCACCCGTCCGTAACTCACGACGTGTAACATTCCGGGCTCTTAAGTCTCATTACCATACTCCTTCGTTTGCCGCTCGGGTTCTGCATACCTATTACATAGCTATTACACTGCCGGTTTGCTCGACCGGTTACCGGTACTTGAATATTTATTTAGCCGATTACTTTTTTCATCGACTCCGAGGAAATTCGATCGCTGTCGCGCCGGCTACTTCGTAAAATTATGGGCAGCGAATGAAGAACGGATAAGAGGCTGCTGTCCTTTCAAAGGCGGCGCTGTTATTATATGTATATTAATGCTTATAATATCGCACTTGAGATATTAATAACATTATTTAGTCGAGATAACTGACTATACATATAATCCGTGTAAATAATTAGATGGTAAGAATGTTAATAAGAATTGCTTATTATAAAATGAGTGATTCTACGAAATGATCGTTATTTAACAACGCTCGTAGATCGTTTAGTTTAACACATATCTATTCTAATGTAAATATATATATTAATATTTCTCATAAGAAAGTTAGTTTCTTTAGCTGGCTCCGGTCATATAAAATTTTTATAAATTCAGAATGATTATTAAAAAGTAAATTGCTTCTTTATGATGTCAACTTACTTTTTTGAGAAATGTAAAATTACAAAATTAAATTGCAATCACTAATATTGCCAAAAGTAAAAATTTTTGCTCTCTTTCCTTGCAGATTCTTTAAAGTGATGGATGATTTCACATCAACATGCGGTGAAGGTGAGTTTGCATTACTTCAAATATACTTCAAATAAAATTCCCCGACTCAGAAATTGAAGTAACTTTATTTTATACATCTACCACAATCGTGGATAATAATGCAACGCTTTGCATTGATTGCGAGCAGTTGAATCGCTAAAATATTTGATGAAAGTTGCAAGACTCATGTCTGATCGGCGCCAACTAAAATACATCAGGTTCGATAAACAATAGGAAATAGTTCTACGAAACTTTGTATCAACAATCATAAAAAAAAAAAAAAAGGAACATTGACGGATACTTGTGTTTCTAGAAAGAGTTGCAAGAAAAATCTCGCAGGAGCCGCTCTCGTTTGAACGAAACTGCTGATCACGACTGTACGATCCCTTCCTAATTTACTCTTTCGATTACAGCCTGGTCGTGTTGTACGTTGTGAGAACGAATGTAGAAGTCGGTGGTTGTTTTACTCGCGCGATTGTACAATCCGGCTTCTGTGTTTCGAATGAGAGGAATTCGACAAAGAGACGACGACTACGACGATCGGAAACGAATTCGACCGGAGTTCGAGAAGCGAGGATCGCCCACGCGCGAAGTATATACCGGGGCGTTGTTAATTATCTGCCGCCGTTTATCAAGCAGTATAGAGAAGAAAGTTCCCTTGAGCGGGTTCTTCTTCTTTCTTCTACTCCCGTATCCTCTTTATTCATCCGCGTCGTCGCTCTCTTCCTTTTCTTCTCTTCTCTGCGTATATATCCCTCGCGTCCCTCCATCTTTTTCTCATGCCAAACAGCCAGTCATATCTATGAGGCTGCGTTGGGATTTTAGTGTACATGTACACCGTGATTTAAGAATCGAGTTTTGATCACTGCTTTATTTCGAGGTTATCTTAAATCTTCATGTAGGTATCCAAGATCTATTGTCGTCCGGGTATACTTTTTCGAGAAAGAGAGAGAGCAGTCTTGGGATACTTGAAATTTTGATTCGACAAACAGAACTGTTTTATTAAACTTGAACAAAATTTGAAACTTTTAAAATTGTTGGAATTTGCAAGATTCCTCGGGAAGTTTACAAGATGTGAAACTAATGTAACCATCTCGTATTTCTATAGTCGAAATTGCATGAGGATGTTTGGTTACGTTATCGCGCCTCACAACTATCGGATTTGTACGTGAGAAACTTATGAATCAACTAACTCGAACTTGAGGGGGACGGGGGGAAGGAACGGTCATCCAAGAACAAGTCGAGACGCATTCCGAGGTAAAAGAAGCCGTTTAGTTGCTAATCTATCGAGCCAGCACTTAGCATTTATCAATGCCGTATATCCAATATCTAATACCAAAACGCCAGTCGATCGTATAGGGACGCTCAAGTATCTCGCCGTTTATTAAATTGATTATTAACTCTCTTATACATTTAGAAATAAAGTTTATGCTTTAATGTAGAGTTGTGTTAATTTTTTAATTTTAATTTTTCACATCTAAATGTATTCCTAATTGGTATTTGGGTTCAGACATTTTCTTCAACTATGTTGGGAAAAATTGTTTATAACAATTTTTTACAATTTCACATAATTTTAATTACATAATCTTATTTTTCGGATTTTGATCTTTATAGTGAAAAAAATTACAATACAGTAAACAGCAATAAAAAGACTCAGTAACAAAAAATCGTAGACATTTTTAAAAACGATTTTATTCTAGGGAAAACTTTAAGCTCTTTTACGTTATAAATTTAAAAACTTTTGCGAGTTCTTTTAGATATGTGACCACAAAGTGAAGAGAGATTTTCTCGTCATGTTTAACTCGGAGTTTTCTATATGTAAAAATTATAATACTAAACTCAGAAATTCAAGAAACAGTAATTTTTTAAAAATAGAGTCCTTATAATTTAATATCCTCTTTTTATATTTAAATTTCGTTTATTTTTAACAAAATTGCAACTGTTTGAATTTTGAATAATAAAAATCGGGCACGAACATTTTCGCTGATGTAATCTCGGCTTTAAAATACACTACGAATATCATTCTAAAAGAAGCAGAGTGAATATTGATTAGAATTGTCTCAACGTGTATCTTCTAATTATTTCTGAAAATATAAATTGTTACATTTTAAAAGCATTAGGTATATTAATTTTAGACGTAATCTCCTTATGTCTAAAATTAATTACGGGCTCCCTTGATTAAAAAAAACCATGAATTCCTGTGATAAGGGGCGATTAAGGGTGCAGCGTTGTTGGTATTAGGTATATACTGTCTTTTTGCGCACGAATCGAACTTAAATCATATACTAATTTTTATTCAAGCATTTTGCAAAAACTTTCATTCTCTGTGCGTTTCGTGACACGTTTTGTATACGTAGAATATCGCGGTCGAACTTACAATCGTTCGATTGATTTAAGACGGCAGTAATCGGCAGCTTGAAAAGGCTGTCTCTCTCTCTAACAAGCCGGTGATATTTTCACGTTTATGTATGTCAGACATTAACGTCCTTCCTCGTTTTAGCGATTCTTATATGTGTAATGCCGGCGGAACTTTACGCTCTTACGGTACTAGGATCTTTCCCGTGTTCTCGGCACGAGACAATCAGGATCTTCCCGTCTACCAGAGGCTATTCGAGCTGACGTACCTCTCGCGTATATATCATCCTGCCACATTTACTACGTCGCTTCGGGTCATACTTCGCGACTACTCCAGTAGCCCGAAAACCAATCTTTGCTCTGTACGACGGGGGAGTAGCGTGTGCAATTCCGGATGCCGCCGCCCGCCTTTTATTCCTTCGTCGGCGATATCTCGGGGGCACAAATGAAAACAATATTTGCATGCGACCGCCCACCCTCGTCCATCAGTATGCACAAGGTTGTGTACTGCAACCGACCCCTTCCGTCGCTTCGCTTCGCGCTGTTTGAAACGTGACGGATCGAAGTTCATTACAAGCAGCGAATTTCTACTTCGTACGGAGTTACTTAGCGAAACGTTTTTGCACCACGCTTTTTACGACGCTTTCCTGAATTTCCGAAGTATGTTTGTAAGCAAAACTCAATTTTCTTATGTGTGAAAAAAAAGAACTTGTAATAAAGCAAGGCGCGTTGTTCGAAATCTCTCCCGCGGCATATGGTAATTGTATTTAAGTTTCATCTTGGAAAACCAACATTTTTTACTTGACCTCGTTAACTAAGCTTATACAAGCATGGAACGAAATTTTTAGTAAATTGCAATTTTTAAATGGTACACAATGTCTCTCTTTCTTTTTTATAGTAATTTTCTAAAGACGTAAATGAAAATCGTGATTGCGAAAATGTTTTAAGTACATAGCAATGCTCATAAATCTGTATAACTATTATAATAGTTAATTAACGACGGACACGAAATAAGTTTAAATAAAAAGATTAATAGACAATCTTTTTTTACATAGTAAACTTCGACATAACTTTAAAAATCTCAACGATCGTATTTTTTATTTTCTACACTATCTGTTTATATATTATATTTTAATACAAATTTGGAGCGACTGTACGTTTACGAATAATTGCATCAGTGTGAAGACTATATTTTGAATTGATCATGGGCACATCCTTAATTAATGATATTGCTGAATATACAAGGCACATTTTTGACCAACAAACATTATCATCATCATGCTTTAGCTCCCGTCGAGCAACGTTTGATTTCGGCTGCCAAACAGCAGGGTGCTCTGAAAGACTTCCGTAATATCCCTCTGATCATAATTTCATACCGATATACGGACATGTACAAACGTACACATTATTCAAGTGCCAATCCATGAATTTTATTTCTTCGAATATCAAAGATTCTTTATAAAAGTAAAATGCCGCATTCTTATCTTTTTCTTAATATTGATATGCTTATCTTACGGTAAAATTTAATAGAACTATTAATTTAGTCATTAAATATGATGTAATATATAATTATTTTATTTAACTTATAAAAATAGGAGTAGGATAATATTCAACAAAAATGTTGTTTTTCAAAAAATGACATTTATTATAATGTCTATCAAAGTAATCGTAAGTCTTCGACAATCTGCTTGAGGATCGGGCTTATTTATTAGTGTAAAGGCAGCACTGCTCCGCGGGGGTGCTGGCTCCAGATTCACATTAGATGCCGACGTGTTCTGAGAAGGTTCCTGTTCGCTAAGAGTACATATCTGGCGTATGCAAAATTGAGATGACCTCGTGATAGATCCCAACGTGAAACGAGCATATCTTGTATATTATATGTACGTGTACATTGATGTTGAATTACATTTGTGATTCTCTTTATTATTCTCTGATTTGTTTCAACGATTATTCTGACGAAAACATTATTCTATACTTTACTAAAATTTAATGAGCGCTAATCAATGATCTAAGAAATACAAAAAGTCAAAAAGAAAAATTTTATGTACTATATAATTGTATGTAAATAAAGGCGAATGTTAAAAAAAGACCAACATAAAAAGATTTAAATAAAGGAATAGTGTTTTTGTAGATTTTAACTTTCTGCATACAACAAATTAATAAAAACTATAAAAAAAAAATTTAGGCTGATGAAAATCAAACGCAGTTTTAATTTGTGCGCGTAATTATAAAAAAATTTTTAATGTATTCTAATTTTAATCTGGACGTTTTGGCTCCGCTTTTAGCCATCTTCAGCGTGATAAGTATATAAAATTATTAAAAAGTTTGCAGTTTGAGGAATACTGAAAAAATTTACTATTTTTTTTTATTTACATCTTTTGGGCAAAAATTGACCCTTTCTTAACACACATTCTCTTTTTAGAACCTAGAAATGTGTAATATTTAAACGAAACGGTACTCAACAATTTCCTTGTATTGATTTTCGAGAAAGACTGAAAATTCGTTCGTGAAATGAATTTATAGAAATATCTACGATATCCTCTCTTGTTTTAAATGTTCGCGAGTTCTTCGGTTTATGTTCCATTCAAGTTGAGGATTTACGTTCTATGATTTTTCACACTGTTATTTTCCCATATATGATAATCCAAGGTCTCCTTTACGAAGAAATAGCTTTTATACTCCAGTCTGCGCTAACACGTTGTTGCTCATTCACATATATTTATCTTAATACTTTTACATGGAACGCTGTGTCGAAGGATGCTAGATCGAAAATAGCACCGGTCAGCAGTTTTATTAGACCGTTTGTCATGATTTTTTTCACGGAAAATCTTATCTCCTTGCTGGCGCCATGCATTTCGCATCTATATATATATATGCATTATTGTCCTTTGCGAGAAGTATAGTATTTCATCTATCAAAGAGAGGAGAAGGGCATAACTCGTGCTGTATCGTTTCGAGACACCGATATATTCTTCGTTCGATCAAGCGGCTCGCAGAGGTCAAACGGCGTATCGTATGACTCGCGATGGGTCACTTAATTCGCCCTGAAAGCCGTGGTAAAGAGGTACGAAGTGCCTCTAAAGTACTTGGTACTTATCCTCTGCTCGTTTGCGCTTCGCTGAAAACAACAAGACGTAAGAGAGAAGGTCGGTCGTGCGGAGTCCAAGAGGAAGAGATAGAGGTGGTAGACGCGCTCCGATCGTTATACTGGTCAACTACTCTCATTAAGGTTTGCGGCTCTTGCGAAAATGCCGCCACAACCGACGAATCGTCGTGAATTCGTCGCAGGTTTTGCCGGTAATTTGCGATAATATTATAATCAGCCCCTTGCTGAGACCGAAGAGGTGCCGACCCCACGCCCCAGGCCGAATTGATGACCCGTGGAATCGTACGCCTTGCCGTGCGTAGCGGTGCGCCCTTATTGGCTGCCCTCTTCGCAAGCGAATATTTCTTTCGTTCCTGCGCGTCTTTGGTGCCGTCTGACGTCTCGAAAGCGCTTTCGAGATACCAATCGCGTGTTCCACCGATTGGACTCTCATGCGTATACGCATATGTGTCCGTGTCGTCGTATAATTACTTTATCTGTTACGTTAAACTCCGTTACTTATGAAACTCCTTCGAAAAAGAAATACGTACGGAAAGCCTGCGATGTTTGGTCATTTGAATTTATAAACCTTGGTTTTTTTTCTTATGACAGTAAAGAGTATAATTACAAATATATACGTTGAAAAAAATTTCCGATTGAAAGTGCACGAATCAGAAGATTCTGATTCACATCGAGAATTCTAATTAGATAAAATCTTGAAAACGGAAGTAGCTCCGATGACCTTGACATATGTTGTCAAGATCATGTAACCTCCAATAGATTTTACGTTAAACCTTCCACGCGAAATAACTGTTAAAAATCACCTAACTCAACCCATTTTTTGATGTGAGATAGCTCTCGTTTCGCGTAAAGTTGAAATCTACGTGCAACAATACAATCATAGAAGTCGTACGTTCCTTTGCAGAGGAGAGAGGTGGGGTGAGAGTCGTTTCGCCTGGAAGGTTGAATGATTTGGATAGTTTGATGCAGTATTTAATAAGCAAAAATGTTATTCGTGGAAGTTTTCAGTAAAAATACAGCGTTATTTTTCAAACTTTTTTTTTTAACTGCTTTAAAAGCATTGAATTGTTATTTGTAAAACAGTGAATTGTTTTTAAAGCAGTGAATTATTGCTGGAGGAGTGGTGGAATAGATATTGCCTCACATAGAAGGTCCTACTATCTTAGTCGATCCATTTCAAATTTCCCATCTGCCTAGTCATCCAACAAAACAGGGAAATAATTAGCAACTTTGATTGTTAATAACTTTTTAACGAAGGATGAGCTAAAACCTGTTAGAAGTTACTCAGGGTCATGATCTTGACAACATATGTCAAGGTCATCGGAGCCACTTCCATTATTGTCAAAGCTTACCTCTAATTATGTTAATTGTAATAGATTCAACTAGAACATTTTAATTTGTTCATTTTAATCAAAATTCTTATTAAATAATTAGATTCTTATCTTTCGCGTGTGTGTTACTTAAAAACTTGTATTACAAACACACACGCGCGCACAAAAGATTATGTATTGTAAGGTATGTAACTTTTCTGTTACAGATGAACTTATAGGAGTCCATTGCACACACGGTGTGAATCGTACTGGTTATTTAATTTGTAGGTTAGTATCATATAATCTCGTACTGCCTTTAATAGACGCTTTTATTGCCACATAAATTTTTACGTATTCGAATTTTTTGGATCCGAATTCATCAAATATGTATTTAATTTATATTTGAATATCTGAATACTTGTTTAATCTCACGAAACTAACATTAAATATTCGTATATACGATTAATAAAAAGTGCATGCCGAAAATAACAATAACTAAAACGCAACGTAAACCATAGATTTTAATTACTTTAGTACATTTTGAACGCATCTCTACTTCAAACGATTGTGACACTACTTTGTTATAGATACCTCATTCAGCAACTAGGTTGGGATACTCAAGATTCCTTAAAAGGTACGTTATTTAAAAAAGTATATTATATATATATATATTAAGTAAAGTTCCGGTCTCTTGCAATTGTTTAATTTTTATTAGATGTAATTAATGTGTGAGGGAATTAATTAATAATTTTATTTACTTTTTTTGGTTACAAGTAATTGTTCATTAAACATTTGAAATTATTATCAATAAATGAGGAAAGAATTATTCGCAGATTATAAACAATTATATATACATATGTATATCTTGTCAAAATAGTAGCGTAAATACATAGTAGGCCATGATCATAGATCAGATCGTTTTTTTTCTTTACGCCATTCAAAACACAAGTCAATACTTATGTCGTTATTCGGTCAATCTGAGACAGGTTAGTTAACTAACGATGACAGTCAATGAGATTATACTTTGCACTCTATTGATAAAGTTTATCGCCCAAACGAGATCTTCCTCTGTTTGTATCCAGCTTTCGGAGAAGCACGTGGATATCCCGTCGAACGCGACATTTATCTCACCGCGTTACAGGAGGTTCAACGCGGTACGAAGATCGACACGAGTAAAGTTGTATTGACGCAGAGTCCTATCAGTGTCACAGCTTCAACCAGAAAGACTCCGTCGAAAAATCGCTCACAGTTGAAAAATTTAGCAAACCGTCCGATGGGGCCGCCAATATACGCGATATCGCGACGAGGTTTTGCAAATGGCAGACCATTTTCGTCTCAGAGATTCGCCAGAGGTATCGCGGGACCACCACTATTCGGTCCAATTCCACCACCTCCGTCTGGTATGCCACCTATTCCGCTAATGAATCCGCCGCTCTATGGTCCCAGGCCATTCAGATATGGACCACCACCGATACGCCCGGTTCAGTCGATGCCGCCAACGCCGCTCGGACCCAGTTTTCCGCGTCCGACTTTTCCACCGCGTATGCCAGGTCCGCCGAGGATGGCGGTTCCATCGAGATTATCAGCTGGTCCAACTGCGCGATTACCGCCACCGAAGATGCCACTTCCGCCACCTCCACCACCACCAAAGATGCCTCCACCTTCCAGATCGAAACAATTTCAAGCACAACAGAAGAAGCAGCAAATTCGAAATGGAATCATGGAACGCTCAGTAAATATTCGCATAAGACGAAATGGTCCAGTTAGCAACAGAACCTTGCCTAAAGCACACAAGGAACAGGATTTCACTGTTGATACGTTCGAGGAAAATCTACTTACGACCTCGAATGTCATGCAACCACAACGACAAGCGAGAGGACGTTTTAATCGAGCAAAGTGACCATGTACTCGTTAGGAATGCGATGATACTTAAACGAAGGATTTTGCGTTTGACATCGCCGTTAAAGCAGAGGTTCACAGTGTCTAAGATAGCTTGTGTGCATAGTCGCTGTCGTGATGACGAACAGAGATTTTCACAATTTGCATTGTGATTATTTTTGAACTTGAATTTAGACATTTAATGAACCCAAATAAAGTGCGAATTATTACGTCGATATCAATAACATATACCTCCCGCAGATACTTTTTTATTTTATGAATATATTTTATATTGAAGACAACACTAACGAATTTTATCGGAAATCTCATGATTATTTTCTGGCTTATGTCCATATATACATATTTTTGCTTTAATTATTCATTAAATAAGTGTTTATGTTGATTAAATAATGTAATATTCAGATTTTACTTAAAAAAAAACACAAGTATATCTCTCTTTGATTTTAATAAGTTTTGGATAAAACGCAAACAAAAAATATGACACGTATATTTTTTATAAGTACTTAATCACATGTTAAGGAGGTGAAATCCTCTCTTGAGAAAAAGAAAAAGATTAATTTCTTTCTAAGTGAATATTAACTAAACAGTCAGACAAAAAATGTTTTAAATAAAAGTTCAATTATTAAAAGAAAAAGTGAATTCTGAATAATAAACTATTTATAAATATATAAAATATTTTTAATAGAAACAATTTATATTTATAAAAAACAAAAAATGTTTTTTATTATCATAAAATACATTTTACTATTATAAAGTAAAACAATTCTTCTTTTAATTAAAACTTTCTATATCTTTGATTTAAATGATATCTACTTATTATTAGAAACAAAGAAATCGATTTTTGTTTTTAAGAGAGAACACACTTAACATTGATTGAGTTTATAAAAAAATACATATTTGTATTTTTATTTATTTTATCATACTTTAACATATCTAAAACTTTTTAAAATCAAAAAGAGGAATATTTGTGTAAGATTAATCGTAGACAGTGTCATGAGATTGCGACAAAAGCTATTTGGGAGTGTAATAAATAATTGTTTATATGTTTGTTTAACGGGAAAAGAAAATGTTACATATATCTAAAGGCAGAATTGTCCATGACTATCTTATGTACGTACTATAATATAATATTATATTTGTAGATTAAGTGTGAGTACATTATTAACATACAATTTGATGTACTATGAAATTTTTTTAATTTAAACATTTAATCTCCTTGTTTAGCATTACATGAATTGCACACACACTTAAAGTCACAAATATAGTATATATTCAAAAAATGAGTAATAAATTATCTAAAAATCAAAACAGATGAAAATAAAGCGGACAATTTATTTTATAATATAATTTTAAGTATAGACATAATTAGATATAAGATATATATGTATATATATATAGACCCGTATTCAGAACGCGTTTACAACGATGTTAGCGCTCTAACATGCTATAGTTTACGCAAACTATAGAATTTCAGAGATAAAAGCGCGCTTTTATCAATAAAAACGCGTTCTAAATACCAATATAATATACAATATAAAGGGTGTACCAAAAGTCTGAATACACCTAAATATCTCACGATGCATTTTAGAAAAAAATATTTCATACAAAAGTTGTAAGGCTTAAAAAGACGTATTCAACGATAGTCGTTATTGGACTTGGAATGGCGTTGTCAAGGTCAACATCGTTAAAATTTTAATATCTTTCAACATATTATTAAGATCCAATAAGATGCTATAAGCATCAAAAATTGTTAGATTGCTTGTCAATTTAACTAAGTGATATTACTACGTAGTTGTTTAGAGTTGCGTTGTAAGTCTGAAGAAATTTCGGCACGCGATTGAGGGAACTACATACGTGGTAAATAAAATTCACACATTATATTAGCAACCAAAATCCTGCTTGACCGTTTTTTTTTTTTTTGGCCGATTACACATCATATTTAAAGGTCAACTTAATTTTTTTTAAATAGAACCTATTTTTTATTTCAGATTCTTGTAGGTTGTGTCGAGATGTTTTCAAAAGACGTATTATAAACTCTTTTCCGATGAGAACTTCCTGAGTTATAAGTCATCAAAGTTTAAGTACCGCCGGCGTTAAGAGTTATCCAAGATGTACCGCATGGAGGTTACTCGGTCGAATTTACATCAATTGTGTGCGTGCGCACGCGCATGTAAATGATTGAAGGAGTGAGTGAGCGAGCGGGTGAGTGAGAGTAAGTGAGTGAATTAGCGAGTAGATAAACAAATAAACATGAATATGCGTTATAACAAATGTTCGAAATGCTGTACAGCTTGACAATGAGCCAATCGATAATAAAAACTACTACAAATGTTTTCCAACGTTTCAAACCAAGAATCTGAAATAAAAAATAGGGGTTTTATTTAAAAGAAATTAAGTTGACCTTGACGTGACCTTAACAACGCTATCCTAGATTAAATAACTACTATCGTTGAATGTGTCGTTTTAAGCTTTACAATTTTTGTCGGAAACATTTTCTTTAAAATGCATCGTTTATGAGATATTTAGGTGTATCCAGACTTTTGGTACACTCTGTATATGTGTGGTGTGTGTGCATATATATATATATATATATAATGTACATATAACAAATTCACAATCATTTTCATGAATAGGTTTGGTGGAAGTACAATTTTACAATGTTTCTAGCAAAACTCAATACTGAGACTTAAATAATTCACAATTAACTACTGCATTACAGATTAATAGCAGTACGAGATTTTAGCGAGTCTACAAATCTATTAGATATATATTTAATTTATTTTCTTTATATGGACTATCATTCTTTTCATATTGAATTATGAGCGAGTTATATTTTCCTTTCGATGTGATTTATTATTGTCCCTTCTATATTATATCCGGTATATACAATCAATTCTTTTCTGAACGCTATAAATCTGTTCTCAGGAAAATTACTTCGCGAGGGAATTACTTCTTGCAAGCACAGAGGGGCCGATGAATGTTTTACGAGAATGCTCAGTAGTAAAGTAGCTTATGTGGTAGTTCGACGTTGTCGTTGCTATAAGATTGCGTAGATAGGTACGCGCGTGGCGCGCGAACACGTAATTGAATGTACGTCTGGAAGATCGGAGCGGGCCATGGCTGATCGTGGATCATGTATCTGGGTCCAAAATATTAAAGTGATTCAATATTCGGACCGGAGTCAAAGGGTCACGCGTGTAGGAGGGACACGTCTCTCGCGCGCCTGACCATATATCACGAACTGCCGTTGGCGTACGTGGAATAATTCCACGAGAAATTGCACGCGTCACACGCGAGTAACGCCTTAGGCCTCGGGGACTTTACCCGGCGGCTTTAAAAGTGAGACTTGGTGATAGGAAGGGGCATAAATTAAGTGCGCTTGTATGTGCTTTTTATGGCATACGATGGCGTCCCTCTTGGTGCATTGCTTTGATTGTAATGACGTGTGGCAAATTTTGGCATATTATTAAAAATCCATAACACATAACTAATATTAATTAATGCTAAGAGAAAAATATAATTCTTATTAGTACTAATTTTCTAAAACGAAGAAAGATTTATAATAAATTAGATATATTTAATTATTTAATATATTTAAAAACAATAAGACTAAATAAAATAATGAAACACGTGTGTGTGTTGCGTGCGTGCGTGCGTGTATGTGGTGTGTTAAGATAGATCTTTCTGTGTGGTGTGTTTGCAATAATAAGAAATTTAACATGTAAAAATTAATTGATAAAAATATTTAGAAAGCGAGAGAGAGAGAGAGATTGGAATATTAAGATTAAAGAAATTATTGCAATGACATTTTAAATTCAATGACATCAAAATTGTATCTTTTTTCTTTTAAACTACAATATTTGCTTGCACTAGGAATAATAAAAAGAAAATCCTGAATCGTTTGCTTTCATCATAGTCAAATTAATATCATGTTCATAGAGACGTAATGTAGGCATACGTTGGACTTGAATGTTAGGAAGTAAAGAAAGGAAGAACGACGACGATGAACGACGACGAGAAAAGAGGTCGTGGATGGAAGGAATTCGAAAACTTTCTCAGAGGTGGAAAGATCGTCGCCCTTCTCGCGCCACGCTCCCGAGAGACAATCCGAAAGTAACTTCTGGTGCGGGCTACTGGCGTCATGAGAAACAATCGTCCATCGCGATCGTTGGGCGCAACCGTGCACGCGAGACAACTGTTTCCCCGGGGCTCCATACCTATCTCTCAGTTAGGCATTAGATTTATCGACATATTTTCTCAGTCTTTTGAGAGATTTTATTTACTTCTGTACAACATCGTCTACCTCGCCTTCGTGCACCGCTGTTGCACGCGCGACTACCCGCCTTGTTTCGAACCGCACCGGACGCTGGTCGATCAGATCGGAGGGGGATAGCAGAAACGGAGATTCAACCGGGAAACGGATCAGTGTTTGTATAAATTCTATTTTGAGCAGAAGAGAAGATATGTGCGTGACAATCGTGAATTGGTAGGAATTGGATAGAGATCGAGTGGCTTGGGGAGAGAACATGTTATATTATGTGGTGCAAATTTGTGTCGGAACTTGAAAAGAAAACTTTAAATTATTGCTATTACTGATGTTGTAATTATCCGCGAAAAGAACATTAGTTTTTAAGCCAACGATCGCTATACTATTGTCCCAAGTATCTCAGTTGAGATTGCGATTCCATTTTCGACTTGTGTACTTTTGGGCAAATAGAGTAAAAAGTTACAAGTGTAATGTAATATAATCGATTTACGAAAATAATAAAAGTTTCAAGACTCGAAATTTTTTTCATATATCAAGAAAACTAGGCAGACAATTGAGAGTCACGCTTAGTGGAGAGCGATTATATTATACACTTATTCAAACACATTTCAGTTCTTCTTTAGGCTATCCTCGAGAAATCAATGTAATTTTCTTAACATAATTATCGATTTAATCAAATGAATAATGATTATTTAATAAGTATTAAACTGAGACAATAACTTTTTGTTAAAGATATTGACAGAAGTTTCTATTATCGTAACTGATACAGGGTTACTGCGAACGAAGATTGCATGATCTAACTACCGCGTGATTGTCCGAAACGATCTTTCGGGTGCGTTCCGATAGAACTTTTCAAATAATTCGTAAAAACCCGCACAGAAGGACAAACAAGTCCATAAAGACCTCGCGTCATTTCGCTGTTTCTTCTTCCTCACATCTAGCTTCTTCCTTCGGTCGTTTGACATTTCTTTGAGGCGCGATCTATCAGAAACACAGATCACAAATCAGA